TACTAACATGTACTGTACATTACCAACTGTGATGTACTAACATGTACTGTACATTACCAACTGTGATGTACTAACATGTACTGTACATTACCAACTGTGATGTACTAACATGTACTGTACATTACCAACTGTGATGTACTAACATGTACTGTACATTACCAACTGTGATGTACTAACATGTACTGTACATTACCAACTGTGATGTACTAACATGTACTGTACATTACCAACTGTGATGTACTAACATGTATGGGTATTGTACATTACCAACTGTGATGTACTAACATGTACCATATTGTACATTGCCAACTGTGATGTACTAACATGTACTGTACATTACCAATTGTGATGTACTAGCATGTACTGTACATTACCACCTGTGATGTACTAACATGTACTGTACATTGCCAACTGTAATGTGCTAACATGAACTGTGCATTACCAACTGTGATGTACTAACATGTACTGTACATTACCAACTGTGATGTACTAACATGTACTGTACATTACCAACTGTGATGTACTAACATGTACTGTACATTACCAACTGTGATGTACTAACATGTACTGTACATTACCAACTGTGATGTACTGTACTGTCAGATGCTACTAGGTACATCCCAAGGGCTCTGTGTAATATATAATGTATGTTCTTATGGTAATGTATAACATACATAAATGTTATGCTAATCTGTGTAATTTGTTGTATATAGTGAGTTGTTGTATATAATACATAATGGTGGTTGGGTGTGAAGTTGGCTTCTTGTACAAGGTGTTCCAAACTTGGGGTATTGTGATGTTACTCCAATTATTAACTTATATGTTAATGTTGATTGAAGTAGTTTGAGTTATCTACTTAATTGTCTTTTATTGTAACTTGTTGTAATTGTCTCATTAATAATTTGTGAATTAATGTAACTGTGATGTTATTACCCACAATGCTTGGTGGGAGAGTTGAGGAGGGATTGAAGGTAGAGAGAACCGGGAGGACTCACTGTAGACCAGACCTGTGTGTCTCGCTGCTTCACACAACTCAGTTGAGCTTAGGACTGTGTGGATCTATCCTGTGAATCTACCTTGTAAATAATAATTGTACCAAGTATAGAAAGCAGGAGTTGGTGGCTATCCTTTGTCTTCCAGCACTGGTCCCCGTGAACACTTGACATGCACTCACAACTGTAATAGGCCTCATGGGTTACTTGTTAGTGCTGTCAACTACAAACCCATAAGACACAGGTTCAGTGTTGTGGCCAGGCAAGACTTGTGGGTCATTATCTTGTGGTGGTCTACACATAATATATGTAATATTACCTTTAATAAAAACATTAAATGATCAAATATATACACTACTTGGCTGCTCACTATGGAAGAATTATAAGATATTGCCTCCATACCATCCATTACATTAGAGATACCTCACCTTTTGAAAGGTTTTATTACAGTCTCTATTTTCACTTTATTCCTTGTTTTGATCAGACAGCACATCAAGTAATGCAGCGCGTGTAGCCCCACTTTTTGGAAAGGATTTTTCACCATCCATCATCCAAATATTCCAGTCTTCACACACATGATCTTTAAATGGCTTGTTCAGGCAAACGTCCATTCAAAGTATTTAATATGTTAAACATATCACCATATTGGTGGTCAAATTGACTTAAACTTTACCACAGGTGGTTTAGTAGTTTGGGGAGTTGTCTTATACCACAGATATGAGTTAAAACCATGGAACTGTCAATGTATACAGCCTTAACAACATCAACCTAGAGAAGTCAACTTGTGAAAGACACTTAGGGGTACTTGTAAGCCCGGACCTACGGCCTAGAAAACAGTGCGTTAATGTTCGAAATAAGGCAAACAGAGTATATTGGATTTTATATCTAGAAGTGTAAGTAATAAGAGTGCATTGGTCGTATTGCAACTATATCTTGCGCTAGTCAGGCCGCACCTCGATTATGCGGTTCAGTTTTGGTGCCCTTATTATTGAATGGATATCAATTCACTAGAGTCGGTGCAGCAAAGAATGACGAAAATGATTCCGGGACTTAGAAACCTTCCATATCAGGATAGGGTAAAGAAACTGAACTTGCATACCCTAGAAAAACGAAGAGTGCTGGGAGATATGATAGAAGTATTTAAGTGGGTGAAAGGAATCAATAAAGGGGATATAGATAAAGTTCTTATAATATCCGAGCAGGATAGGACTCGGAGCAACTGATTTAAGTTGGATAAGTTTAGGTTTAGTCGGGAGATGGGAAGGAACTGGTTCACAAATTGGGTGGTGGACGAGTGGAACAACATTAGCAACTTTGTAGTAAGTCCTGGAATGCTGGAAAGTTTCAAAAGGAGGCTAGATAGATTCATGGATGATAGAGAGTGATAGTAACTCTCGACAGGAGCTGCCATGCACAGGCCAACCGGCCTATTGCAGACTCCGTATTTTCTTATGTTCTTATGTTAACATAGACTGTAATGTGGACCTCGTCTTACCCAAAGGTCGCCTAATCCACTGTTCAAAGGTTGATGTAATTTTGAAAACAATATTGTTTATAAAATGTTTGTGATAATTTTATGTTTTATTATTCACATGAAAATATTAGGATGAAAAATAGTTCCATTAAGATTGACTTATATGTATGAGAGTAATATTTATCTGTCTGTCTTCTTTATTTATCTAACATATTTATGTTGGGTGGATTAAGGGGTAGAGAAACCTCTCCCATATTTATGTGGGGTGGATTAAGGGGTACAGAAACCTCTCCCATATTTATTTGGGGTGGATTAAGGGGTACAGAAACCTCTCCCATATTTATTTGGGGTGGATTAAGGGGTACAGAAACCTCTCCCATATTTATGTGGGGTGGATTATGGGGTACAGAAACCTCTCCCATATTTATGTTGGGTGGATTATGGGGTACAGAAACATCTTCCATATTTATATGGGGTGGATTAAGGGGTACAGAAACCTCTCCCATATTTATGGGAGTTGATTAAGGGGTACAGAAACCTCTCCCATATTTATGTGGGTGGATATGGGGTACTAAAACCTCTCCCATATTTATGGCAGGTGGATAAAGTGGTACAGAAACCTCTCCCATATGGCCCCTGTGGGGTGGATTATGGGGTACGAAGCCTCTCCCACATGTGGGGGTGGATTATGAGGCCACATTAAACACTCTCCCATGTTGTGTGGGATTGGATTATGGGGAGTGCAAAGCCTCTCCCACATTTATGTGGGGGTTGGTTATCAAGTTACAGAAACCTCTCCCATATTTATGTGGGGTGGATTATGGGGTACAGAAACCTCTCCCATATTTATGGGGGGTGGATTAAGGGGTACAGAAACCTCTCCATAATATTTATGGGGGGTGGATTAAGGGGTACAGAAACCTCTCCCATATTTATGTTGGTGGATTATGGGGTAGAGAAACCTCTCCCATATTTATGTGGGGTGGATTATGGGGTACAGAAACCTCTCCCATAATTATGGGGGGAGGATTATGGGGTACAGAAACTTTCCCATATTTATGTGGGGTGGATTAAGGGGTACTAAAACCTCTCCCATATTTATGTCGGGTGGATTATAGGGCACAGAAACCTCTCCCATATTTATGGGGGTTGGATTAAGGGGTACAGAAACCTCTCCCATATTTATGGGGGGTGGATTATGGGGTATAGAAACCTCTCCCACATTTATGTGGGGTGGATTAAGGGGTACAGAAACCTCTCCCATATTTATGGGGGGTGGATTATGGGGTACAGAAATCTCTCCCATATTTATGTCGGGTGGATTATGGGGTATAGAAACCGCTCCCATATTTATGTCGGGTTGATTATGGGGTACAAAAGCCTCTCCCATATTTATGGGGGGTGGATTATGCGGTACAGAAACCTCTCCCATATTTATGTGGGGTGGATTATGGGGTACAGAAACCTCTCCCATATTTATGTGGGGTGGATTATGGGGTACAGAAACCTCTCCCATATTAATGTGGGGTGGATTATGGGGTACAGAAACCTCTCCCATATTTATGTGGGGTGGATTAAGGGGTATAGAAACCTCTCCCATATATATGTGGGGTGGATTATGGGGTATAGAAACCTCTCCCATATATATGTGGGTTGGATTATGGAGATTATGAAACCTCTCTCCCATATATATGTAAGGGTGGATTATGGGAGTATAGGAAACCTCTCCCATATTTATGTGGGGTGGTTATGGGGTATAGAAACCTCTCCCATATATATGTGGGGTGGATTATGGGGTATAGAAACCTCTCCCATATTTACGTGGGGTGGATTATGGGGTGCAGAAACCTCTCCCATATTTATGTGTGGTGGATTATGGGGTACAGAAACCTCTCCCATATTTATGTGGGGTGGATTATGGGGTATAGAAACCTCTCCCATATATATGTGGGGTGGATTAAGGGGCACCTAAGTAGCCATATTCATGATAATATAATGTAAAATATTAAATATATCCATTTATTTACCATTTTTTCACAGGGATAAGCCCACAAAAAAAAATCAATAGTGAGAAGCAATATATGTATGTTGTGTTTTCAAAGTGCGAGAAACAAGACCCTGCAATTGTGTGTAAATGAGGCAGCAAGTCAGATCATCAACCTGGGACTTGGTCACATATGGCCCCAGGGTCTACCATTAGACAACACATTATGGTTCCAATATCTTCCCAGACGGTAGTACAGTACCTCCCTATTTGATAGCTGCCTATTGCCTACTACATTACTTATAATGTAAGTTTCATAAAGCACCTGTCAATATCTTCTTTAATAATGGTTTATACAGAAAGTTTACTTCAAGTAAAGTATTTTATGCCATAAGTTTTGTATAATGTTCATGAGGACCTCTTCTATGAGGGTCAATAAATAATAATAGTTTACCCTCATTTGTATATGTTTTCTGTGGTTAGTTAGTCATTCAGTCACCAGGCGGCACTACGGGTCAACCTGTGGTGACTAATAGTGGAGAGTTGTTCTTCCTTATTGGATATTCCTTGACAACAACAACAACACGCTTCACCATCTTGTATACTTCCGTCAATTTTCTCGTAAAACAGTTTATTTCTCCTCCTCCTGGACATTACAGCAAGTGTTTGGTGAGTTATTAAGAGTGCAGGTGTGTTATATGACCTTGTTTACCTTAATACTGTATTATGACCTTTCCTGCTATGTGGAATGATAAAGATTCATTTTATGCCATAACGGGAAATTGATTACTAAAATAGATTTAACTAATGTGTTTTTTATCTTGTTATAAAGGAATATGACCTTTATTTGAGTGGTAGGTTGATATTTATGGAGATATGGCCACTTTAACACTAGTAACAGGGCTTTAAAGATGAGGGACAATGTGGCGTTAAAACACTACACCAAACAAACCATTGTTAACGATAAAGACATTAACAATTATAAAAGTGAAGTGACACAAAACACATTACTCATACATTATGTTTCTCGAGGTAAGAAAACTTTATATTTTAAGGTGAAATATTATCAGGTAGCTGCTAGGGTTAGGTTAGGTTTGATTACATTATATTATGGGTAAAGGTGGACGAGAAGGTTAGCATGACATGAAGGTTGAGGGAAATTATGTGATAAAACACGATGAAAAACTGATCATATGACAGTTAATGGATGTCTGTACATGTTTTGTATTTGAAGAAATTTAATATTTGCCTTAGATATTCCTCCGGCAGTCCAGTCTTGTTGACGCGTGTTGTTGTCCAATTGTAAACAGTTAAGTTCTGATTCTGTTCTCACTTAAATTGTTAACAAATGACAGTGAATCGTATCCAGGCTTTATCTACCATATATAATAGGTTTAATTGTTTTTCTTTTTGGTAGCGGACTTCACTATCTAGAGTCAGGAGTCTATGACCTGCGCTGAACCTGTACATTTTGTATTTCCCGCACAATAGGATCTTAAACCAACTCTATTTATATGTTATGAGGATCATATTGTTGGAATCCATTCACATATTATACCATTTGATTCATTACAGCACCTTACAAGTAGCATTGGATAATAAGTGAACTGTGTGTTCCTATACTTATTGTTCGACCACAAGAGGAGACAAGCAAGCCATAGTTAGGGCGTCTTGTGACAGATGCTCATTGTCTTATTACAAGATAATTATCCTTGTGGAGGATGAAGACCTACTACAAGAGTTCATCTGTGAACATGGACTAGTTGGCAGGATGTTAAGTGTTCAAAATGTGGCAGAGAACTGACACTCAACAAGAAATATTTATTTGTGTGTAACAAGAATTTACGCTATGCGGCTTCAAACACTAACTGGAATTGAACCAAAAATTATGGAAATATTCTTTTCATGAGACTGAACATGAAAATGGAAACGAGAATGCACAGAATCTAACAGAACCTGACCTAACCTTACTTAACATCCTAGCCAAGGGGCGGACCTGCTGCCATATTAAGTAGAAAGTTAGTTAAGGATGGTTAAGGTTTCTTTGGTTAGATTAGGTTCTCTTAGGGTCTGTGGTTTCTCATTTCCATTTTCGTGTTCAGTATCATGAAAATAGTGTCTCTGGAAATAATATCTCCAGGAATTTTTGGTTCAATTCCATAAGTTATTTCTGGTGCTAACCATCTCCTTCACCTTTACCATACAATATTGTGTTGGTCGTGTTAGGTAAGGTTAAGTCATGTTAGATTAGGTTAAGTCATGTTAGATTAGGTTAAGTCATGTTAGATTAGGTTAAGTCATGTTAGATTAGGTTAAGTATGGTTAAGTAAGTTAAGTTAGGATAGCATTACTGTGGTTAATCTTAAGGTGAAATAAGCTGGGACCAATCTTCAGGTGATCCCAAATATGTTTAACTATATTAACTAAACAACTGGACACTGTAAATTAATTTACAGTAAGTAAAGTAAAATGTTGTGTTGTGTTAAGTTGTCCCATTGTGTGTGATGCTACACAACACAACTCACAACAGTAGACAACACAAAGCTGATGACAGTATAACATCACACTTTTGTTTTACATTAACATCTACTGTTGAGAGTTGTTTATCCCATATATATTAATATATGTATATTATTGTTACCTCAGGCTGATATAACCTGCCCGAGACTACCCCAGGCTGATATAACCAGCCAGAGACTACCCCAGGCTGATATAACCTGCCAGAGACTACCCCAGGCTGATATAACCTGCCAGAGACTACCCCAGGCTGATATAACCTGCCAGAGACTACCCCTGGCTGATATAACCTACCATAGACTATCCCAGGCTGATATAACCTGTCAGGGACTTCCCCAGGCTGATATAACCTGCTACAGACTACCCCAGGCTGATATAACCCACTGACTAACAACTTGTGCAGAAAAAGGTGAGAATTTAGTCATGTGTGTAATTATGGTGTTGAGGGATAACATCTGTAATATTATTCAAGTAACCATTTCATAAGAAGAGCTGTAGATTACTTGACTTTGCATTTTGTGTACAATTATCAACGCTTTTTAGAATAATTCTTTAATCCCTAGAGTACTATATTTTAACCCTTTGAATATGATGACATTCCCTGTAGTATATTAATATTAGTGTGGTCATTAGACTCAATAAGTTAAGGGAAACTAACCATAATAAAGTGATATTGAGTCTCAACTATAAGATGAATCACAAGGGTGAGACAGGGAGAGTAGGTCTTCCTGTTACTGCCAGTACAGTAAAGGGTGACTCAGGTCCCTCTCCTCCCTTTGTGGCACCTGAGTGTTCTGGAAACTGATGTTGGTCCAGCTGTCCTGGTTATCTTATTCAGCCAAGCAATAGAGGATTGATGTGCTTACATGGTGGTGAAGACTCTCTAGCCTTCTTGTTCAGGGTACCTTCATACCAGCTGTCTCATTTATTGGTATCTGGTAGGTAGGTAGTGTTTGGTTACCTCAGGGAGTTGTGACACAGTTTTGTCTGCTGTTCCCTCCCTGTGTGTTAGCATTAAGAGTTACTGTGCCTCCAGCTGAGGTCACATTCTTGTACATTTAAAAGCATTCACACTTTGTTTCAGTCCAATATGTTTGTGTCAATCATTTCACGGACAACCTATAGAGTTAGCAGATAGTAACATTTAGCCAATAACATGTTGAGTGAGGGTTTTGAAGCTGTAGAGAGAGGGTGTGTGTCGTCTGGCTTAGTGGGTCGGTGGCCCCAATGTCTTACTGACTCTTACATCAGTAATATTCTTCGGTCCGCTGAAGTGAGAGAGAATGAAAGGGAACAACTTCACAATTATTTGACTGGGAAGACAGTCCCTAAAGTAAGTTTAGTCAAGATGAAACTGGTGAAATAACAAAACCAGTGAGTAAATATGAGAGACAGATGGTGATGTCCCTGCTTTACATATTTTCTCAAACTTTGACATAAACTCTTATTAACTGTAATTAAAACTTTGAACAGTATTCCCTTAATGATCACTGGGGTTAGGTAAAATGGACCCCCTTGAGAAAGCAAAATCTGTGAGTTTTTCATGCCAGTCCTAGATGTGTGCAAAATACATATATGAATAGCTATATGCACGTGTATAACCACATTATGTATGCTTAAAACATTATAATAAATATGAAATAACATAAATAAATAAACATGATATAACACTGTTTGAACATTAGGTCCACACAGTGATAGGTAGTTGTGGTAGTGAAAAACATGATAGCATAAAGCCAGTGATTTGGTTTTACCAGTACAGTAGGCTATTAAATCTGCAATTTCTTCCCAACTTTACCTTATTAATTATAGGGTGCATCTTATGACCTTGGAAATATGGTACTCTGTACTGTCCTGTAGTGTTGACTCCTCTTGATCCCTGGCACACAGCCTCAGATTTATTTTATTTATTTTTCATGGGAATCTGTGAGTTTCTGAAGGATGCAAGCTTTAGAAACACGAACTTTAAGGGAATACTGTAATTCCTTTTAGAATATTTTCATCTTACACATGTTAGTTTTTTTAATTCTAGTTTTCAATTATAAAACTACCTTTCATAAGAATATTATCTAAGGCAAAATATTTTGTTTCAGATACTGTGATGTCACATCTCAAGACCAAGTGTAACTAAGTAGAAATTCACAATGTCAAGCAGAGATAAAAAGTTCTCCTGTGAGGAATGTGGCAAACGGTTTTGCTTAAAGTCTACTCTTCAGACACATTTACTTGTACACAATGGTATGAAGGAGTTTGAATGTGAGGAATGTGGGAAAAAAATGTCATCTAAGAGTAATCTCAAGAAACACATTCTTGGACACAGTGGTATAAAGGAGTTTGAATGTGAGGAATGTGGGAAACATTTTGCACATAAGAGTTATCTCAAGACACATTTACTTGGACACAGTGGTAAGAGGGATTTTGAATGTGAGGAATGTGGGAAATATTTTACAAGGAAGAGTACTCTGAAGAGACACATTCTTGGACACAGTGGAATAAAAAAGTTTAAATGTGAGGAATGTGGGAATTATTTTGCACATAAGAGTCATCTCAAGACACACATTCTTGGACACAGTGGTATAAAAAAGTTTAAATGTGAGGAATGTGGGAAACTTT